TTTATCGCATTGCATAGACACCTGTTTACTCTCAGGGTCATAGTGGTGAACCCACGTTGTGCCCACAGGAGGTGCCTGTAACTATCCTATCGAAAACACTTGTTGCGTCGTTACCACACATTTAAAAACTCCCTACAGCAGTCAACCCGCCTGCTTCTAAGCGCAGTGAGCATTCGCGGCAGCCATATAAATAGTCATGCAATATGGTGTGTATAGTACCAATGGATTCGTGTATCTTCTAATACAAGATTTTCAATAATTTTCGCATTTTCTTCTGTAGCCACTGTGATTGGACCTTCGATACTTTCCCTGCCTCTTTTGAATTCACTTGACCACTTCCGTGCGGTCAACATTGAAGGAGCAAAGTCTTGGTAAACGGCCACCATATTTTCATGGATATTTTTTTGAGGTTTTTCCTTGTTTAGTGACGAATTTAATCACCGCACGGTGTTCGATTGTTTTCAACATTATCGAATCAGTCGTTCCCGTCGACTATGCCTGAAGGTTACATAAAATAAATAATGAAGTTATCAAGATTAAATTTAATATTTATACCCTCAGGTAGTGTCTTCGCTGTCGCTAAAGAATTTTTTTAATTACCCACATTATTAGGAAATCAACCTAATACCGAAAATACATTGAACGCCCCTTGTAGTTTTCTTGATACCAACGGGCATGGCGTTCCAGAGCAGTATGGACTGCATTGTGATAGAGGTATTACAGAAATCACTCATATATAGGAATGTATTGGAGATTGGAAGTTTAATTTTATTTATTTTTAATTGATGACAATTCGAAAAATTAAGCTTAATAATTTAAAATTAAAATTTTGTACAGCCGACTTCAATATAAGTTATTTAGAATAACACAAATAACTCAAAAACTATTGGTCTGACCTTGATCAAATTCATATGGGTCCACACGAGAAGTATCAACTTTCATATAAAAAAAGAATCATCGAAATCGGTTCACCCCATAAAAAAAATATACGCCTCGAATTGAGTACCGTCTCCATTTTGGAAGTCGGCAAAAAACTAAATAATATATTATTGAACATTTGTGATGAATTTTAACTGTTAAGTAGATAGGATAATTATTCAGTGTTACAGGTTAAGTCGACCTAGATCCGTTAAGGAGTTGTAGTGTGCATCATTTCTGACTGATTTGTCTATCAAACACCATATTCCAAACTGAACCGTTTTTTTTAATACAGGACTTGTAAATTGTTTTCATAAAATAGGCGATTTTTTGTCTATTGTCCATTTATTTTATAATTAGCGCCTTTAATTTATTTGAGTTTTCAATTTTTGTGTAGTAGATAAGTTTTTGTATTATTCTGAACACCAACATTGCAATTAACTAAACAAATTGGGTTGTAATCGTAGATTGAAGCTTAGAAAAAGGAATGAATTCGTAAATAGTTTTTTTTTTTCAGAAATATTTAAAAAAAGTCTATGGTAGGTATGTTTCTTCAGCTATCCAAAACGATATAACACTTAGGGGTCTTACTATAATTAATAGAAAGAAAAAAACTTAAATGGAAGGCTCCCAGGTATTAGTAATAAATAACGGTGTTTAGCGTAGGCGTAAAATAAAACAATAAAAATATGTTAAATTTTAATAAATTAAAAATAGAATTAAAAAAGAAATTAATACAATAAAAATATTTTAAATTTTTAACAGTGGTAGAGCCACGCGGCAGCTTTTGCTGTCACACGGATGGGCCGGCTCGAACCGGGGTGGTACCACGACCTCACAGAAAACCAGCGTGAAGTAGAGGTTTACCTCTGCGTTTCGTTTGGTGAATGCAGGTGGCCGGAGGCCCTTTTTACTGGAAATGAGGCATTCCATTATAGTCCTCACGGGTGCGCATCTGCATTTTGATTCGCAAACGAGGATAGATGTAGATGTCTATGGGCCGCAGCAACCACTTACCATCAGGTGGACTGTGTGCTCGTTTGTCCCCTTTATCCTATAAAAAAAATGTACAAACATATATTATTACATTTATTACTCTTTTTTTATAACAAATGTTCCAAATGTCCTCCGTTGTTTCGCACACATACGCTCATCCTGTTTCTTAGTCCACTTTTTACAACACCAGTGGTTAAAGATCTTCTCATCTCATCTGCCGCATCGTTTTTGCCTTAAAACTTCTACAGATGCGATTCGAGTCAGTTCGTTATATACCAAACTCTTATTTTTTCAGTAACTATCATTTTTCGTTAATTTTCATTAATATTCATTTTTCGTAAATTATCTGATAATTTATTTTTATTTTTTATTTGCTATTTATATTTACTTTCTATTTAAACAATTAATATCATAATCATCATCATTACAGCCCTTCACAAGTCCACTGCTGAACATAGGCCTCCCCCAAAGAATGCCACAAAGCACGGTCCCGAGCCACCTGCATCCATCGACTTCCTACATATCTTACCAGGTCGTCACTCCATCTAGTGGGGGGACGCCCTACACTTCGCCTGCCGGTACGAGGCTGCCACTCGAGAACCTTTCTTCCCCATCGGTTGTCGGTTCTTCGAGCTATATGGCCGGCCCATTGCCACTTCAGCTTACTAATCCGTTGTGCTATGTCGGTCACTCTGGTTCTACTGCGGATATCCTCATTTCTGAGTTTATCACGCAGAGAAACTCCGAGCATAGCCCTTTCCATAGCTCGCTGAGCGACCTTGAGCTTCCTCATCCGGCCAGCAGTGAAGGACCACGTCTCAGTTCCGTATGTCATCACTGGCAACACGCACTGGGTGTACAGTCTCGTTTTCAAGTTTTGAGGTATACCTGACGAGAAGATGTGTCGTAATTTCCCGAACGCTGCCCAACCGAGTTGAATCCGACAATTAATATACTATACATAAAATTAATATACCTATTAAATACAGAATATATAATCCTTAACTTCAAAAAATATAATAGCGACTAAAATAACATAAACAACCTCAAATTGATAAATAAAATTTTAAATGGAATTAAAATCGCACAGATGCGAAGTTACCTCTTAGTTTATTCTTTGTTCTTTTTGACTCATTTTTAGTATTCTTCTGGGCTAAGCTTGCTAGAATACAACTGCTGTTTCTTTCTTCATTCTACTTCTCATATTTATCACTATTAAATATTTTAATCTTCATATTATCCTTGAAATTTTCATAATATTTGTCTTTTTAAGTTGACCTTCATTGTTTTATTAAATACTTTCTGTAATTTTTTTTAAAGTTAGTAATATAGTGGCCTTTTCTTATATTCTATTTTTATTTTTACGTGGTAGAGCCATGCTGCAGCTATATTAGTAGTATAGTTGTAGCACGAATGGGTCGGCTCGACCGGGGAAGGCCCAAACTCTCACAGAAAACCAGCGTAAAATAGTGCTGTATTTCGTATGGTGAGTGTATAGAACCGGAGACCCTTTTTAGTGGCAAAGAGGCATTCCATCTTAGTCCTCACGGGTGACAACACATCTGCATCTTGAGTCTTTATTGAGTATAGATGTAGATGTCTATGGGTCACAGTAGCCACTTACCATCAGGTGGACTGTGTGCCCGTTTGTCACCCTATCCTATAAAAATAAAAAAAATATTCTAATTATTTTTTCGTCACGTGCGGTATTGCGTCCATTCCATTAATATATTTCGTATGATGAGTGTAGACAACCATAAACCGTTTTTACTGGATAAGATAAAATAATTTTATTTGGAATATCTCTGGAAACGAGGCATTCCATCTTTGTCCTCAGGGGTCACGCGGTCACGCATCTGCATTTTGATTCTTAATTGAGTATTATAGTAGATGTCTATGGACAACAGTATTCACTTACCATCAGGTGGACTGTGTACTCGTTTGTCACCGCGTGTTTGTCGACTACCCCAGAAGGGGAGGGTAATATTTTTCGATGTTATGTATGCATATATCTTTGGCACGTTCTGTAGCCTAAACAGCTTGATGGATTTTAGCATATGGGCTGTTGTCAGATTCGTCTTAGTTCTGAAAGTGACACCTATGTCACACTGTGTACTATGTAACTATGTACCCTAGTACAACATTTTCACTTTTCAGTACTTAAACTTTTTTAAACACTTAGTTTGCTTTAAATAATAAGCCTATAATTTTAAATAAAATCAATAATCGCATACAAGTTGCCGCGTCGCGTACGATACGTTCCATTTTCACCAAAAGGTGCCAAAAGTAGCTTAGGTCACCACGCCATCATGAATCGCTTACAGAGACAGTACAAAGTAATATCTAAGTCTTACAACATCGACATCTTTTCTGACAAGCCGTTGAAATTTAGACGCAAGCTCGGTCAGTTTCTCGAGTCAATGGTGTCTGTTTGATTCAAGTATCTATATCTATTGTTTGATTTTTTTTAACATATAAAAATAATGATTGTTAAATGATGATTAAAATGTTTAAGTTTTCATTTGCTTAGTATTAACTAACCTATTTAAGTGTTATTTGCATAGTCCACATTTGCATGCCGTGGCAGCCTATAATTAAGATGACGCTTAGCTTTAGTTTTATATTCATGTTACCTTAATATCCATGTATTAGTGTTCGTCTTGTTGGTTGTCTTTTTAAATAAATAAAAATAAAAATAAGAAATAAAAAATAATTAATTATTTGACGGCTCCGTGGCGCAGTGGCTCAGTGTTAAGTTGCTGTGGGCTGCAGGTTCGAATCCCGCATCGAACAAGTATTTTACATGACCTACAAATAATTATTCCGAGTCTGTATGTAAGTCCTTATACAATTTATTTATGTTAACAGCGATTCGAACCGAACCTAAGGCTTCATCACCACATACTACTAGGTGGATTTATGGTTAAGCACTGACTAATAATAAGAAAAAAAAGTCTCCACGATACATGTGAAAATCCTAATGTTAACGTTAACGTTATTCAAAGAAAAATAAAATATAAAAATATAAACAAATTAAAATTATCATTTACAGATATGAAAATCAAACACTGAGGGAAAATGTGAAAATGGCCCTGAAATTGAAATACAAGGACGAGCACGGTATCCTGCACATCGACATGAGTCCATCAACGAGTCCGGCGCGAACCGAAGATGCGGAACGCGAAGACCTCACAGACCCAAAGTTCGACACCATCAACAATCGCTTCGGGAAATATGACCTCTTCGGAGGGAAATACGATGGAGGGGAGACGCCTCAATCGCTGTTCAGAAGTCGCTACAACAGTATAGAGGAGGAACTGGCAAACACGCCCTACGCGTTCGCGACCGACCGCTCGCTTCGTCTTACGGAGCCAGTCTTAGACATAACTATCAAGTCGCACAGTCACGACGCGTCGCCTTCGAACGATATCGAAGACGATCGATTCTTTAATCGAGACATAAGTCTCGATTATGGCCTGTTTGGTCCACAAATCGATTTTAAGGCGTCGGTGAAAACGTCCGACGAAGAAGATCCTCCCGCGTTTACAGTGACACAATTGATTCACGCTCAAGATCGATATTTCGATCTATCGACGCGTCAGAGTTTCGACAGTTCGAAAGCCGGTGTTAAGGGTAAAGTGCGGACTTTGGCGGACAGTTTCGAAGTGAAAAGTGCGCCCGGTTCGGCGAAAAAGTTTGACAGAGTTACTAAAAGTGACAAAGTATCGGATAATAATGCGTTCAAAGTGTTGTCCACTGAAACTGTGAAAAGTTTTCCGCAGTCAGCTGCAGCCAGCTTACCGTAAGTGTTTTATTAATTTCTTTTGAAATTGAAGACTTTTTTTTGAAACCCAAATCAAATTAGGTCCAAAAATTTTCTATTTACTTCAATCGGTTATTATTTTAAATTAGCTGTGCCCGAGACTTTGTTCGCATAGATTGTTAGTAATTTATTTGTTTTGAATTTTTATTACTTTGGACCTAATCTATACATGAAAATAAAACTGAAGTGTCTGTATGTGATATCGAAATAACTGCCTTTTATCCTACCGCATTCAAAAAAGAGGTACTCAATTCGACTGTATGCTCTTTTTTATATGTGATACCTCATAATTTTTTTCTGGGTGGACCGATTTCAATGATTCTTTTTTTATTTGAAACTTGGTGCTTCTCATTTAGTCCCATATCATCAAGTTCTGACCAATAGTTTTTGAGTTATTCTTAATAATTGATAATAAAGTCTGTTGTACAACATTTTTAATGTTACATTATCGACATAAGGGGGTTATTTGCACGCCAATAAGATATGAATAACGATTTATAAAATTTTTGACTGTGTTGTTTTTGATTGGTCTGTCTGTCCAGGCTAATCATCAGAAAGGCAGAACCGACTGTAATGAAACTTCACGAATAGGTAGAGAAGAATGCCAGGAATAATTAAGGCTATATTTTATACGAAAAACGTGGCGTTTTTATTTTGAGTAATCGAAAAAATCATTAACTAAATTGGTTTTGATGATTAAAACAAATATAATAACATCCATCACAGCCTATAAAAGTCCACTGCTGAACATAGGCCTGCCCTATAGATTGCTTCATAGAGGGGATATTTGCCATAGTTTAATAATTTCATCTCTCAGTAGGTCATGTGCTCCTGGTAGATTATTTTCTATATATCCATTCATTACAACATATAAAAAGTCCACTGTATGAACATAGGCCTCCTAAATAGATTGCCTCATAGAGGGGATATTTGGCATAGTTTAATAATTTCATCTCTCAGTGGATCATGTGTTCCTGGTAGATTATCTTCTATATATCCATTCACATCATATAAAAGTCCACTGCTGAACATAGGCCTCCTCCATAGATTGCCTCATAGAGGGGATAATTCCAACAGTTTAATAATTTCATCTCTCAGTGGATCATGTATTCCTGGTAGATTATCTTCTATATATCCATTTAAAAGCTGAACATAGGCCTTCCCCATAGAACTCATGAGGAATTTTGTCCTAGTTGGCACGCTTCGCAAGCTGGTTGGCAACCGTAGTTTTAACCGATATGGGGTAGTGGATATTTTTATCATATAACCGATCAAGAACACGATGAATTACACACCGGAGATACGGCACCATTCCTTCAATTTAATATTAGAAATAAAGTACCTAAGTAACGTGTTGTACGAAAAAATATGAAAATTAAAATATAAGAGTTCAAAAACAAAACAACAACACGCATTGATTATGAGATATAATAATTCTGATAATTATTTTATTTTATCCCGAAGATTCTTATAAGGATACTGGGACAAAGTTATTAAATATAGTATTGTCAGTCTATATCCGGTATATAGATCTTAAAATATTTTGACATTAATATCATCTCTACAATTTTGTAGAAAACCACAGATAATAATAAAATAACTACAAAAAGAAGCGTACTGTCACACTTGCCTCATTGATGGGTAAGTGTGACAGTCTTCCACCTCAATCAGTTTTAATTACCTTAAATAACAAAATGCTACTTGTAGATGTTAAAATGCTTAATCAAACAAACAAGCACTTAATAATTCATGTTACTAAACTGAGTTATCTATATTAAATCCTTACACAGTAGAAGTATTTAAATGTTCATTATAGTTTTAATTAATTTATGTCACACTTGCCTCGGGTATGTAGAGAAACATGAGATTTCGATGGGAGGAGGAGGGAACGTGAGGAGGTGAATGCCAGAAAAATCTGATGATTTTCGAATTTTTGAAGACGTTACCCCTACACTAGGATTTTCTCCTTTATCGTGGGGGCCGTTCACATACATAAATTGTGTAAGGACTAACATCCAGACCCGGAGCGATTGTTTGTAGGCCATACAAATATTTGTTCCGTGCGGGTTCCGAACCCGTGACATTCAGCGTTGCAACTCAATGCTAAGCCACTGCGCCACGAAGCCACCATATTTCGAGGTATAGCTATATCGGTTACATCGCCAGACATAAATTATCCATACCGGCTACGGGCAACAACGTCAAAGGTCCGTGACGCCTTTGGATCGTCAATCTACCTAACTGCGACAGTTAAGACAAATTTTCCCCCTATTTTCCAGGAGGCTAGTTGACGAGTAGTTTTATACGTGATAGAGCCACACTGCAGCTATATTATGATTGTAGTACGAATGGGTCGGCTCGACCGGGGAAGGACCACGCTCTCACAGAATACCAGCGTGAAACAGAAAAATAATGCTGTTTCGTATGGTGGATGTAGAGAACTGGAGACACTTTTTACTGGAAACGAGGCATTCCATCTTAGTACTCAGAGAACTGGAGACACTTTTTACTGGAAACGAGGCATTCCATCTTAGTACTCAGGGGTGACAATGCATCTGTGTTCTGATTCTCCATCGAGAATACACATAGAAGTCCATGGGCCACAACTTTCGCTTACAATCAGAAGGACAGGTGCTCGTTTGTCACACTAATTCTATATAAAAAAAAACTTACAGCAGCATCTTCCTCATACCTCATACCTATTTTTACGTGGTAAAGCCATGCTGCAGCTATATTAATTGTATAGTTGTACCACAAACGGGTCGACTCGACCGTGGAAGGACCACGCTCTCACAGAATACCAGTGTAAAATAGCAGCTTAATGCTGCTGTTTCGTATGGCGAGTGTGGAGTTAGAGTTTCCGTACCCAAAGGGTAACCAAAGGGACACTATTACTAAGCCTCCGTTGTCTGCAGCGGGCTGTACCTCATGATCCGTAATAAGTAGACAGTTGAAATTGTGACTCTTTATCGAGGATAAATGTGTATGTCTATGGGCCACAGTATTCACTTACCATCAGGTGAACTATTTGCTCGTTTGTCACCTTTATTTTATAAAAAGAAACGTCTTGCAGTAGACTTTCACCGGCTGATATTTATGACGAAGAATTTTTCAGTCTCTGACCTCCTCCAAATCCTAGATCCGTTCATACAAGGAGCGCTGTTGCGCATTTGTCAAACCACGATCTCATCGACATGAGCCGTGGTAGTTCAGAGACTAAAAGCTCACTGTAAATTTCACAGTACGTGAGAAATTTTTAATTACATTTCTAAGTGATAATTTGTGGTTAAGAAAAACAGGAAACCTGCATGTCTGAGAAATTAAACAAAATCGATGATTAAAGCGGCAGTAGCCTAATGGCATGGTGCATACCGCGAACTCCAAAGATTATGGGTTCGAATCCGTCTTTCCCATGTCGTGAACCACTCCTAACTATGATTTTAAGCTTATCAAAATTGGTTAAAGGGATTATTATAAAAGGCAATAGCATTGTTAGCATTTTTTTTAAATCTAAGTGCCTATTTTCCACGTGTTCGGCGGTGAAGGAAAATATCGTTAGGAAACCTGCATGTGTAAAAAAATAAAAAAATCGATGAGATGAATAGTTTGCGAACACGTAGGGGCAGTACCGCGGAACAGCTTCAAAAACCCTCTCAAATGAATAGAACTGCGCCCTGCAGCGTATGTAGATGTTACTTATTGCAAGAATGTGAACGCACCATTTTTAGGGTTCCGTACCCAAAGGGTAACTAACGGGACCCTATTACTAAGCGCCCACTGTCCATCCGTCTGTATCTCATGATCCGTAATAGGTAGACAGTTGAAATTTTCACGGAATGTGTATTTCTGTTGCCGCTATAACAACAAATAATAAAATTAATAATTAAAGGGGGCTTAATCTTTAATGTGCAAGTCTGACTCGCACTTAGCCGGTTATTTTATGTTACGGCCATATATTTTAAAGCACAATTTATTTGTGTAATAAATATAATCTAAACTAATTACAATACAAACCAAGGTTCAAGTATTACGTTAAATCTTATGAAATGTAATTTTTTTAATATGTTACAAAACATAACATGATAACAAACAAATTAATTAACTGTAAACTGTAAACCTACTTAGTTAATGTATGGTGAAGTTATATTACAAAATTGCATTCAACAAAATGACAACCTTTCCTTTGCAAAGCAGTATTTTTTTTTTCAAGGACTTGAAAAAGGCAGAGAGGTTCTCACAATTTGTCTATATATTTTTTTGTATGTTCAGGCATAACTTCTTTGTTTATGAACCGATTTTGATACTTTTTTTTTTAATTTAAGAAAACTTAAAACATATTACAAGAGTATTTACTCCACATCACCAGTAAAGCGCACATCCGTTAGTTACAGCCTATTAAAGTCCACTGCTGAACAGATATCTGACAGCTGAGTGGCGGTGTAAGAACATCCACTAACCCATATCATCCCGTGGGAGTTGTAAGAGACGTCAGAGAGATACAAATCAGGAGATGGGCAGCAGCGTCTTCCTAATAACGGTTGAAAATAAATAAACTAGGGTTGCCAACCCGCTTGCCAAGCGTGGCAAGTATGTCAAATATCCCCCCTATGAGGCAATCTATGGGGAAGGCCTATGTTCAGCAGTGAAATTTGATAAGCTGTAATGCTAGCGGTAACGACTTTAAAAAGCGAGTACTCGAACGTTGAAAAATACTTGGCATTTTCCCGACAATAAAATTATTGTTTTTTTTTTATCTCGATTAATATAAAGTATTTTAAAAATCCATTCGATTAAGAATTAATTGAATATTTCATGATCACGCATATATTTTTTTTTTGAGAGTATACTTATACTAAACATCAATTCTCAAGCGTCAAATTCGTGGCTAGAATACGATATTTTTGTCCAACCTGGCCATAAGGGGAGATAATAATGACTTCCTAATGAGAATTTCGACATCCTTTCACCGTAGTACTTCC